TGGTACATACCCTCATCCCCGAGGGTGAACTACTCCTTCCTCATCATGGAGAGCGCCAGGATGATGAACATGGCCACCGGTGAGGGATCCTCCCCTCCGGCAGGGTGCCGAAACAGGGTCCCGATTGGTTTTTGGTGGCTACAGAGGCTTGCAACGACGAAACTCCCGATCTATCTTTGTATCCGAAGGTTTTAGGGTATATAGACTTATATAGGTGAAAGAAGTTGGTCAGGGCCCATGAGACAGGGGGGCGCGCCCAGTAGGGGGGGCACCTCCCACCCTCGTGGCCACCTCAAAGCTTCATTGACTTGAACTCCAAGTCTCCTGGATCACGTTCGTTCAAAAAATCACGCTCCCGAAGCTTTCATTCCTTTTGGACTCCATTTGATATTCCTTTTCTTCGAAATACTGAAATAGGCAAGAAAACAACAATATGGGCTGGGCCTCCGGTTAATAGGTTAGTCCCAAAAATAATATAAGTATAATAAAGCCCATAAACTTTCAAAACAGATAATAAAATAGCATGAATGCTTCATAAATTATAGATACGTTGGAGACGTATCACCACTTGTTGTTGTTTTAGGAGTAGTAACTAGTAGCGGGTCAATTGGGCAGCTTTGGTTGTAAGAACTGAATTACGGGTGCTGCGGATTATTTTGGCAAACTGAGGTCTAAGAATGCTACTATTTTGCACTCTTCTGAACTAAACACTGCCATATTTGACCATAGCTTCTGAACTGAACTGAACTGCCGTTTTTATTATATTGTCTTTGATGCACATTTGGTGTATCCATGGAAGCTATGATAACTTTGTGACTTGCGATGGTGGTATTGTGTAAAATGGTTGGATTTGTGATATTTAGTGGCAACCTGAATCTACGCACATTGTGTACTGTAGTAGCACGGAAACAACAATTGTAATAACACAGTGGTATTTTGGTCAACATTTTTTTCTATTGACTAATATCTTTTATCCTTCTCAAAAATGAGTATGTTAGCATTTCACCTCGCTTGTAATCAAATTTTATTACTGCTAATTAACTATGATCAATTTGTCTATGATCAATTTGAAACATGATACAATAGAATTAGAGCCAAGTTGGATTAGAGCCAATTTGGAGTAGATATGCATATGGTCCATTTATCAAATATGGTTCTAGCTAGCTGTGTTTATAAATATGGTTCTAAATACTAATTGGTCACTTCTGCTGCTTATCAGAGATGGGGGGAGGCCGCCACCGCAGGCTGCGCTCTGCCATACCGGAGTATGACTTGGATGATTTCGAGTTCTTCACGGTCATACTTGAGAATTCCTCCAGGAGGCAGGTATATAAAAGGAGAGATCTCCTCTTCACCCATCTCTTTATCATAACTATGTTGTTTGCTACATTACTCCTTGACCCACGCTGTAGAGGCTGCCTGACACTTTTATGAAGATGATGCCTGGGTGTTTAATCAGTGCGTATTGACGAGCGAGGAGAACGTCCATGAAGTCTGCCTCCTCATCTTCTTGTTGCATGATGCAACTTTGCTGGGGTGGTCGTCGATGATCCTATCCAACAGCCCATCCCATCTCTTCCTCACCCGAGTAATCTTGACAAACAGCACCCGCGCCAACGCGTCGACCTTGGCCAGGCTCGGGAAGAAGTACTGCGGGTTGAACCTGGCAAACGCCGCCACGTTACCGTCGATCACCTCCCGGAACAGCTCGTTCTGGCCTTCCTCCCGGAAGAACTTGCCCGACACAGCGTGGCACGCGATGGCATTGGTGGAGGCAGCGAGGAGCATGGACACGTCGACAGCAGCACCGGCGGCGGGGGTGTCGCAGATCTTGGCCATGACCAGGTGCGCCTCCTCCTCGTGGCCGTGTTCGACAAACAATTTTTCTTCTACTACTACTTTGTCTGCTTTCTTTGGCTTAAGGTATACATGCTCGTATGAATAAAAACATGAAGAAAGCATCATCCAAAACCCTCACTATCTCTCTCAAGCTCTGATTTTCACCTTCCAGGAATCAAAGCACATTATAAACTTTAGATTGATGATGATCCAGTAACTATCACGCAAACAAAATCAAAAGGAAGTTTACATATGGATGTAGGTGCATAAAAAACTGTAAACATTCAAAAATGTGTCAAACTCATATGGAAATAAGGAACAACCATCATGTTTTGACTTTCTTCGTTTGGCACCAGCTTGATAGGTGTATTTGATGAACTCTAAGCATTGGTGCTGCATGGACATATTTCATTACCTCCAAAATGTGTCGGGCCTCAATTTTTTCTTCCGCCCTACTGTCTCCACGGTGTACACCTCGTGTAGCACACGCTTCCTTTCCTTCCCGCTGGTGTGCGTGACATATATCATGTTAATGTCTTTAACTTCAGGAGGAAACTATTTTTGGGCGGCGGCGTCTGGCCCTTTCTGGTCTCTATCCTCATTACGAGGTTGGCCCTTGCCTTGGTTATCAGCATTGATCTTTCTAGCTTGTTTGCTTGCCCAACAGGTTGGTGAACCTGTGAACTGGTTGTAAACTATGTTTTGAACTTATCATGAGCTATGTTGTGAACTTGTTGCTAGATAGTATGAGTTAGTTCATATGTGATGTCACTTTGATCTATATAGATGTCACACTCTCCCGCAACCCGCTGTAATCCCCTACTTGAACATGGTGCTTTTGTGCTATGAATTCTTATGAAATGGCTTGGGTCATCTCTATTGTGTTTGAGTATATTTTTGTTGTCATATGGGTAATTCGTGAATTGCTATGATTTGTTTAAATAGCTTTTGGTTATGTTACTATCTGCCCATCACATGTGTGTGCGTGTGGATCACATCATAGGGTTAGTTGTATGTTAATAGGACTATGCATTAGGGGGGGGGGGTAAGAGCGACAGAACTTCTTCCTTTGTAGTTGGGTTGAGGCGGGCGTTAGGGTGTCGATGGGGAAGCTCGTTGAAGTTGGCGGTGAGGAGGGTCGTCATAGCAATATGATGTGATGGGGGAAGACGAGAAGGAAATTAAGAGAGTGGTGGGCTTTACGAGAGAGAGTGGGAGAAGGCAGCAAGATGCACCGGAATCTGATGGGGATGTGGCAGGTCGCTGGTTGTGTGACGGAAGGCCGACGACATGGTGAACATGGGTGATGGTGGCCTCTCTAGGGTTAGCACGAGCTTGAGGGAAATGAGGAAACAAGAGAGAGCACCACATTATTTTACGGTGGCATTCCCCACATTATTTTGATGAACTTTCTAGATCTATTGTTTCGAGAAGCTGGGCTTCATCCACTTCGTTGTTTTACATTAGAGGGGGGCTCCACTTTACGAGCTAGCTTCTCAGAATATCAAGCTCGAGCCAAATGTTAGCTGGCAAATGAGCACTGGACATTGTTAGACCTACCTCGAGCTCACACGAGATCAGGAAATGTTCATGAGAGATAATGTTTTTGTGTTGTGTTCGACAAGCAACTGAAAAGGGGAAAACTTGGGACGTCCATGTGAGCACCGCCATTCACCTGCTCCTCGCACGCCTCCCGAAGATATTGCCATGACTGTTGCATCCTCTCATCCCATGATCCAATCAGGGCAAACAAACTATCCTAACAAACTAGACTAAGTCGCAGATTAGTTTATTTACTACTACAATTTTAATCGAAGAAAAGATAGACAGGTGAAACTAACAAAAACTATAGCTAGAGGCTAACAAAGCTTAAGTTGTTCTGAAACATACGACAGCAGCTGTTAGCTGGCAAACATGCCCTAATTAAATATGTACCATGGATACTTTTACCTTTTTATAACTCATTTTTTAATGTATGATCTCGAATATGATGATTTTGTAGTAGTGCTTTCGTTATACATTATATCATTCTAATATATACTGGTCTAGAATTGAACAAAAAATTAACTCATGTTATGATAGTTATTTATCTTCTACATTGTCTTTTACATGAACTTGTCTTTTTTAGTATAAACAGTAGGGAAGGCCCCTACATGTACAAAACTTTTCCTTCAATAAAAAATGCTTCTAGAAAGAAAGAGAGAGAAAATGATAATATTGAATGCCTCTACCAATAATTGATGAGATTCAGATGAGTAGTAGTGTATATGTAAGTGCTATACAAAAGAGGGATGTGAAACGTAATGTCTAATAAGCGCCAAATTAGATGTTTCTAGATAGTATGTTGTCCATATTAGCCACAAGTAAGTATAACGTTCTAGAGTATATGATTATATATCTTACGAGTTAGTAAATAAAGGTTTCATAGTGTATGAATAGATCAGCAAGGTCCTTCTCCTCGTCGGTGATTATAAATAAAGCTACTAAACTTGGCAAACATATCCTATTTCCCTGTTAGCTATTCAGGAAGTTGGAAAAACATCAAATATATAGAAAAAAAAAGAGTTTTCCAACTAAACATATTTATAATGGGACACGAAATTGTCAAAATGAAGAGGCATGTTTCGTTGATGAACACACTTTACCACATTAGAAATTTCAGATTGATGATAATGAAAGGAAAGTTGCATGGATGTATACAAACGAGATCAAAGGAAAGTTGCATGGATGTAAGTGCATAAAGAAAGGTAAACATTTTGACAATACAAATTACAATAAGACTTAGAGGTGAATAGGGCATGAGTATGTAGTCCTTGTCCATATGAAGGATGAAGGAGTTGATGTACAGTTCCACAACCTCTTTGACCTATTCACCCCAGATATTGCCCAAGTTACTAAAGAGATATATATTGAGTACTCCAACCATTTCCCTATCTACACACGTGCACTTATTTTAGTTGGCAGAGGCCCCATAATGACTTTGACCATCTTAAATGTGGCGCCTTCCAAAGTGATGTTGAAAAAAGTCCATACAACAACACTAGAGGAAAACCATAGTATTTGTAACACTGCACCATACATCTAAACATTACCAGCATACAAAAATAACACTCTTAAGTACTATAGCATCTATACCGTTACAAGTGCATGTAAACTATATATTATTCATGACTAACATCTCGTGTTGTTGGGACAAGAATTAGCTTCTCCTCCCGGTGTATCGTCATTCCAAACACCTCTGACATATTGAGGTCCTTGTGCTGCATCCCACCCGGGAGCTCCCAATCAAAGCAATATGCAAGGTTGGCGAGCATAATCTCCACGGAGGCCATGCCAAAGTTTATCCCGGGACATATCCTTCGACCGGCTCCAAACGGCAGGATCCCAAAATCCCTCCCCTTGTAGTCGGGGGACGCGATGTCCTCGAACCTCTCAGGGATGAACTCCTCCGCATCCTCCCACGACCCAGGGTCTCTGCCGATGGCCCACACATTGATGATGACACGAGTTTCGGTGGGGACTGTGTAGCCGTTAATGACACACTTGTCCACAGAGAAGTGTGGGAGGAGGAGGGGCAATGGTGGGTGCAGCCGGAGCGTCTCCTTCAAGACCGCCTTTAGGTAGGTCATGCCGCCCAAGTCATCCTCCATGACCATTGGTTGGCCCTTTGGTGTCTTTTCCCTTACCTCGGCTTGGAGTTTGGCCATGAGGTGTGGCTTTCGCATGAGCTCGGCCATGGCGAACTCTAGGACTACGTATGACGTGTCCGTCCCAGCTACAAACATGTCCTGCAGACATGGATTCGATCTAATTAAATGCTCCCTTTGTCCGGAATTACTTGCCCAAGAATGGATAAAAAAAGATGTATCTAAAACTAAAATATGTCTAGATACATTCATTTCTATGACAAGTATTTTCGGACAGGGGGAATATATGATGAACATTAGCAAGTGCTAGACAGTGCAAAGAGATTCTCTTGGAAATTAGGTATTACGTACCACCAAAATGGCCTTGATATGCTGCCTGGTGAGACTGTACTCGTGTTGACGAGCGAGGAGAACGTCCACGAAGTCTGTCTCCTCCTCATCTTCTTCTTGCTGCAGCGATGATTTGGTGGCGTGGTCGTCGATGATCCTGTCGAGCAGCCCGTCCCACCTCTTCCTCAGCCGAGTCATCTTGGGGAACAGCACCCGCGCCAGCGCGTCCACCTTGGCCAGGCTCGGGAAGTAGTCCTGCGGGTTGAACCCCCCGAACGCCGCGACGTTGCCGTCGATCACCTCCCGGAACAGCTCGTTCCGGCCTTCCTCCCGGAAGAACTTGCCGGACACGGCGCGGCAAGCGACGTCGTTGGTGAAGGTGGCGAGCAGCGTGGACACGTCCATGGCGGCGCCGGCGGCCGCAGCGTCGCGGATCTTGGCCATGACCAGGCGTGCCTCCTCCTCGCGACCAGCGCGGAGCGACAGCACCTTCCTGGCGCTGAGCAGGTGCGTGGTGACCAGCCGCCTCAGCTGCCGCCAGAACTCGCCGTAGGGGGCGAAGGCGATGTCGGAGCCGTCGAGGAGCGTGTCGGCGAACGCGTTCTGCGGGCGCGACGCGAAGACGTGGTCGTGCGTGCGAAGCACCGCCTCCGCGGCGCCCGGGGTAGTGACCACGAGATTGCGCACCTGGCCCAGGTGGAGCAGCAGGATCCCGCCGTCGCCGTGCTGGGCGGTGAGCGCGGCGAGGGAGACGTGGGGGTTGGTGCCGATGAGGTGGAGGTGGCCGATGACAGGGAGCTTACTCGGAGGCGCAGGAAGGGGGCGCTCTTCGCCATGGCCCGCCGCCGCAGCCTGCTCGCTCCCCGATCTCTTTGTTTTTGTTGCCGAGTAGTAGAGGAGGACGATAGGGAGGAGCAGGAGATAAAGCGATAGTGCTTGTGGAGATAAGAGTGCTGCCACTAGCTGAGCCGCCATGGTGACAATTAAAGATGTGCATGAACTGGTAAAAGTTTGCATTTTATAGCTCGCTGGTGGAGAATTAATTAGCGAGTGAAACCAACCAGACCAATAATTCAAGAAAGAAAAACAATAATTCAGGAAGATGCGTACGAAGAATCACTAGTGTAGCAAGGAAGCTGATAGCAGCCAGGCAATTTGACTTTCCATTTAGATAGAATAGATAGGCAGACCTACCATGCAAAATTTATGTCAGTGATGACGAGATGTGGTTTGGATTTTGCGGCTTTTCATTTAGTCCCTTCGTTTCAAAATAGACGACTTTAATATAAAATTAGTACAATCATTAAACACCTTGGTCCTAAAGATTTCTCATGTACATCTTCTAAACCGTGACCGAGGAAATACTATTTTAAAACAGAGGGAATAGATTAAATAAATAGGCAGACCTACCAACAAAATTTATGTCCCAATGATTTCTTGTCGGAGCTGGATTTGTCGACCTGACTGATGGGCACGCGCGGCGGAACCAGGAGGCAATCTTTTGCTAAAAACAAAATGCTAGAAAACCTAGGAGTCAACTAGTGTTAGCAGCCCGGTGATTTTTTTTATTTTATATCTACTCTGTGATAATTTTCAAATCATCACGATCTAAAATATTTTTTAATACAGTACATACGCAAGCGCTCATATACAGGCGCATACACTCACCCCTATAAGAGCAACTCCAACAGGCGCCGAACGCGTCGCGCGCTAAAAACTGATTTGGCGTGCGCCATCGCCTGGTTTAGCGCGGCGCGCAGCGTTTGCTCCAGCAGCCGCGCTGAAAAGCCGCGCGCGCAGCTCCAGCAGGTGCGGTAAAAATGCAGCGCGTGTGCTCATTCTACAACATTTTTTTAAAATTAATTGCATAGATAAAAAAATGATACAAAGATATTTTAGATCGGTGCAACTAGATAGATAGTTCGACATATATAGATAGATAGATACTACTACGGCATAGATAGATAGATAGAAACTACTACGGCATACATATACAGAAACTACTCCAAGTAGCTACCATCACCATCATCATCCTCGTCGGTGTCGTCCGAGGTTGAGATCCATGTGTCGTCCCAACGTTCGTCGTCCGCGGTGAAGAACGACCTCCCACCTGCTGAAACGATATCGCACTGCTTGTTCGCCAATGCCTTCCGCTGACGCCGGTCAGCCCGCTCCGCGCGGCGCCTTGCCGTCCTCTCCGCCCAGTAGGCATGCTCGTCGGCGACGTCTTCCGGGTGGCGACGGCGGCACTCCGCCATGGCTCGCTCGTCCTCCTCGGTGACGAGGAGGCGGCGCTGCCGCCGAGCGTGGCCAGCACGGTTCATGTCGGTGATGAGACGCGGCGGAGGGGCGACGCGCTGCGCCTGACGCGCGTGAAGACGTCCCGGAAGTTCATCTTCGACCGAGGCCTCTCCAAGCGCCACGCCAGCGCGTTGTACGCGCGGGCCGCCTCGTGCACGCTCCGGAACGTCCCAAGGCCGAGCTGGACGTCGCCGGACTGTATCTCGGCGGAGTACCAGCCGTTGGGGTGCTCGCGGATGCCGCGATAGCCCGAAGCACCCCGACGGCGCGGCAGCATGGTGGCGCGGAAAGCAGCAAAGCGGCGAGGTTGCGAGGGGAGGGCGCGTGGTTGTGCTCTATGCGTGTGGCGAGCGTGGAAATTTATAGGCGCGCGTGAAGCGGCGCGCCAAATCTCTCGCGCCGCGTGCCGCTTTCTCCCGCGCGCGCGCAAACTCTTCCGGCACGCGGTAAGTTCTTGCCACCGCTGGAGCGCGCGGAACCGGCCGGCGCGCGCTAAAAGCAATTTTTAGCGCGCGGGCACGCCTTTTGCCGCGCCTGTTGGAGATGCTCTAAGCGCACGCACGTGCACCCTACCGCTATGAGCACTTCCGAAAGACTGAGCCGGCATATCATCTTGAAATTTACAAAGTCGATGTAGCCACCTCGTCGTCAACGAAAACGTCTCCTCCCACTGAATGCGCATCACCGGAAATCCTGAAATAAATCCAGGAATAAATACGAGCACAAAGACTTGAACCCTGGTGGGCTGGGGATATCACAGATCCTCTAACCATCTAACCACAGATTGGTTTGCTGATCTAAAATATTAGGTATACAAGATGATACCTCACATGTTTTTTCTAAGGTGAAAGGGGTTTAATTCTAAAATTATAAAGTTACATTGCAGAATTCCTCAGTATATGGAGGCCCTTTGTATTGCCGAATAGCAATGTTGCATTCAGTACGTTGTCACAATATTAGGAGAATAATGAAGCTTTTGCGGAATAAAGTCCCGAACCTGTCATAAGGCTAGAATCTCCAACGGCAGGTGACGTCATATATCTCTATGAAATTTGATTGATGAAATATGAATATTTTAATTAATAAAATATGTACTAAAAATACATATCATATTGTATTTCATTTTTGTAAGTTGGACAAATTTTATTGAACATAAGTAGCATGCATATAACAGAGTGATTTTTTTTGTTCATGCATTTTGAGGTGGGCCTTTGATGAAATAGTGTGAGGTGTATAACATCAAAAACAAAGCAACGTAGCGTCGTTGCGTACCTGTTCGCCTCTTCTCTCATGAGTCAAAGGGTGACTAGGATCTCTCCTCCTGCCAGCAAATAAAGGAATCATTAAATACACAAGATCGTCATGAACATACACAAGATCAAAAACAAAGCAACGTAGCGTCGTTGCGTACCTGTTCGCCTCTTCTCTCATGAGTCAAAGGGTGACTAGGATCTCTCCTCCTGCCAACAAATGAAGGAACCATTAAATACACTAGATTGTCATGAACATATACAGAGAGAAGTGATCGACCTCTCTTTCTCCGCGAGATTGGTCGAACAACAAATTTCCATATATCTATCCGACGCTACTAGCTACATATATACAATATAAGATCTCTTACAAACCCTAACATCTAAGGTCTATTTGAACTTCCATATGGTATTCTCCGTCTTTATTTATGACGTGGTCAAGAAATAATCCCGCCAATTCCTCTTGAATTGCTCGTATGCGATCATGTGTAGGAGTTCATCCCACCTCTCCCACATCTAATTTAAAGAAGTGGGTCAATACATGTATATGAATGAAATTCAACACAAATGATGTTAATAAAATAGAATTATGATTTTTTTTGTTTACGTACATCAAAATCTTATTTAGAGTAGCCCCGCTTAGAGGTCGTCGAGTTGTAGATGAACTTGCAAACGTAGTACTCACAAAAATCATTCCCAGCTTCTGCCACAAGCACTTTACGAGAAATAGATTTCAATCAAACTGATAATCAAGCATAATTAATTGTTTTGATGAAACTAGATAGAATCAATGGGAGATGCACGGAACTAGCTAGTAGTACTTACTTTTGGGTGTGTAAATCACAGCTCCTTCGACAGTGCCGGAACAATGGTGGTGAACTGTTTCCAAACCCTGTCAAACAAAGAGAATAATTACTTGATATCAGAAAATAAACAAAGTTGCCGATATGGTGCGATAATGATCGATTGAACTTACTTCTAGAGCATATCAGTCATGTTCGCACACTCCTGGGGACTTTTTCTTCTTGAGTCTAAGATAGTTACTATTCTAGTTTCAAGCTTAACTTCTAGCAAAATAAAGTGAAAGCTGCGCAAGCATGCATAACTCATCAATTACATTACTATAATTAACCACGAGTAAGGGAAACCAAATATGCACAAGACAGTAACACTCACTTGAAGTTTTAAGGAAAGAGTATTTTATCTTTGTTTTGATTTTTAAGCAATGATTGTAGCAAGTTGTCATCGGTCTCTTTGACATTGTATTTGACCGTCCATTCATGTATGGTATTTGGGTTAATGAATCCAATGTCATAGATATCTACTTTTCTGCATTCGACGATCTTCAACCTGCATAATATAGTAAGGATAATTATATATACATGCAATGAAAGAGTTGAACTATATATTGAGACTTAATTACAGAAGTAGTACTTATTAACAGTAGCAAGTCACGAGTGTTTTGTCGAGGTTCTTTTGATTGTACAACTGGAATAACTCGTCAAATTCAATATTCAAAATATCCATTCCAGTGATGTTGTGCTCCTCTTTAATTCTCGTCGTCAAAGTATGCCTCCCAGACTGCCTGCATCTTTGCATGTACCATTCATGGAGTCTTCGCATCATCGTTGTTAGACGAGGATGATCAGGTTTGACGTGAGGCTGCCCGTACTGGAATCTGAATTCGTCCACCTCCATTATTTCAATGCGTACATCATCAGGCAGGTAATCACCAAGATTGGTATCGGGTACCATCCCCGGATGATTAGCGATGATATCGCTAGACACCTTGAGCGGGGGGCACATTTGCTTCGCCTGTTCGCCGAGCTGGGGAATTTTTTCCCTCTTCTTCGTTCTGCTAACCTTGCATCACTACAAGTACTTCCCGACCGCCCCGCTTCCTTATATGACTTTTTAATAGTGCGCACATAGTTGGAATCTGGCGGAGGCGGTGGTGGTCGCTTCAGGAAATCGAGAGTCCGCATCACTTTCATCGGATCTACCGTTTCCTTCGGAGGTGGAGGTTTCCGTGCAAAAAAGTTCCTCACTTGGGCACGACTGATGTCCTCATTTTCCTTGTCGGCCCTCTCATAAGGTAACTTTTCCGGAGCCTTGAGAGATGGACGGTATTTGAACTGCTTCCCTCCACTGCTTGTAGTACTGCTAGCCGCCGGAGCGGCGGCTGATACGTCTCCAACGTATCTATAATTTATGAAGCATTCATGCTATTATATTATCTGTTTTGGATGTTTATGGGATTTATTATACACTTTTGTATTATTTTTGGGACTAACCAATTAACCGGAGGCCCAGCCCATATTGTTGTTTTTTTGCCTACTTCAGTGTTTCGAAGAAAAGGAATATCAAACGGAGTCCAAACGGAATGAAACCTTCGGGAGCATTATTTTTGGAACGGAAGCAATCCAGGGGACTTAGAGTGCAAGTCAGGGAAGCTTCAAGGAGGCC